AAACTGGGTATGGTGTCACATAACCCAGCTATCCAGCAGGCTGAGGCAAGCAGATCAAAAGTTCAAGGCCAGGGCCAGGGATATAGCTCAGGGGCATGGCACCTGCCTGGCAAGCACAAGTTCTCAAGTTCGATTCCCGATTCAAAAAAAAGTTCAAGGCCAATCTGTTCAAGGGCAACCAAGCCAGACCCTATCTCAAAGTTAAAAAAAAAAAAAACTGTAAGAAAAACTAACCAAATGCAGGCCCCAAATCATGTCCACATTTGGAGCCCCAGGCACCTCTCTCCCCACGTGAGGCGAGCCTCCTGGCCAGCTGTTCACTGTTACTCCATGTGGAGACGCGGGTCTCCCAAGCCTACTCTCTGTGTCCCATCCCCCCAGTACAGGGCCAGGCCTGTCCCCTGCTCGGCCTGTGCCCAGGCTTCTGCCCACCAAGGGGAAGGAAGCTGGGGGCAGGACAGCAGCCACAGTGCTGACCTGGCCCTGGGGTAAGGCGGAGGCAGGGCCAAGCTGGGCCATGGTGCAAAGGACAGGGCCAGGGTGCAGAGGTCCAGGATGTCCTCCTGTCCCCGCAGAGCACCACGGGCTGCAGCTGAGCCTCACAGCTGGCAGTTCCCACACTCTACCCTCTAAGGCATCCCCCAGTGACAAAGGGCAGCCTCGTGTGCCTCACTGGCCATCTCCACGCTGACTGCCCGTGGTCCCCAAGTCCATCCATCCATCAGGCCACCCACCATCTGGAGCATGGGCTCCTGGCTCCAACCCATGCAGCACCCTGCCCATGCCAGGGCAGCACCACCCCTCCCGGGACAGCACTCCAAGGCCTGGTGTGGCCGGAAAGGAGCCAACCCCGGACTGTGAGTGCAGATCCCAGCCTCGTGCTTGCCCGGTGGTGTGGCCCCAGCTGGCAGCACACGTGGAAGCAGTGACCCCTCTGTGCTCCGGGTGAAGTCTGAGTCCAGAGCTTCGGGCAAAGTGCACAGCAAGCACGGCGCTGTGTTGACACTGAGTGTGTCAGCTGCCACTTGACCTCTGAGACCTCCCGCCCCAGGCTGGACGTGAGGACAGGCGCTGTCCTCGCAGACTGGCCTCAGGAGCCATGTTGGATGTGTGGTGGCCGCGAATCCATCCCTTCCTGGGAAGTGGGGCTTTTGCCTACCCTGGGAGGACTTTCTACCCACTGGCCCTGAGCAAGGACTTCCAAGGTCTGAGGAAGGCACAGCTGGGAGCCAGGGGCCGTCCCTCCCTTCCCTGAGGCCACCCTGGCCCCAACCTCAGCCTGCTTGCTCACTACGTGCCCCCGGAACCTCTTGGACCCGTGAGTGGAGGCAGGCAAGCCTGGCCTCCTAGGGACAGATCAGCCTGCACAGGGTGAGCCATCAGCCAGTGGGGCAGGCGTTGTGCACCCCCCAGCAGGAGGGGTGTCAGGAGTGGCAGGAGCGGCCCCTCGGGAGGTCCAGTGAAGGGCAGTTACAAGCTGCTGTCCTGAGTGGGTGGGACAGGAGGGTGTCTGACATCCCCAGAAAGTCCCTGTCCCTCCACGGGTTGAGACATGCATGACGTGCAACTTGACGTGCAACTTGACGGCCGCTCTGCAGGTCAGGCACACGGTGACCTCATCCCTCCCTGCTCCCCAAGCCGAGCCGTTCCCCGAAAGGCTAACTCCTCACCCCACCCCAGCTCCTGACAGCCTGGCCTCCTCTTCTCGCTGTGAATCTGATGATTCTAGGACCCTTCTGGGAGCAGGGGTTTGTCCTGTGTGCTGTGCTTGCTTACGGAGCACCCAGTCCCCAAGGCCTATCCGGGGCACAGCAAGTGTCAGCCTCCTCCTCGAGGCCACGTGACAGCACCGACGGAGACAGAGGTTTTCTCCAGCCTCCCCTGCTACTGGACACGCAGGCTGCTGCCGCTTCCCGACAACTGAGGATGCTGCTGAGATGCCTGGGGAGGGAGGCCCTGGCCTCAGCACTTTGGGGTGTAGGTGTGGACAGGGAATCGCTGGGTCACATGGTAGTTCTACGTCTTGATTTTTTGACGAGCCAACTGCTTACCACAGTGCTGCCCGGTGTGACGTTCCCACCACCGCTGAGAAGTCCTCTGGGGCGCTGGGAGTGACACCCGCAGCCTCTCCACCCCCCAGTACTTTGCTTTGCAGCCACCTCAGGCCAGAGGAGGTGGCCTTTGAGTGCAGGTGACACCGAGGGGCCGGGGCCCTCGACTCATGAGTGCTGGCATCACTGCTTCCTCGGCACCAAGGGCACTGCCCTGTGGGAGGTATGGACTCAGACAGCCCATCCCTGCCCCCGGGGCCACCGACTGACCCAGCCTTCCCTGACAGGGGTTCTGAGAGATGCAGGCAGGGCCAACGCCCTCCCTCCTTGAGCCCAACTGGGGCCAGAACCCCCAATCACCCCAAGCTGCAGGAGGCAGCTGGGACAGAGAACTCTGCCACCCCCCGCCCCCATTCTGCAGCACAGCAAAGCCCGGCCCGCGCCCCGCCCCTCCCCCAGCTCCTACGAGATGGTGTGAGCCAGGAGCCCGGAGAGTTTCCCACACTTTGGCCCCATTCACAGTGTTAAACGGCCCACAAAGGCCAGGCGTGTGCCTCGGAGGCCGCCTGAGCTGCCATCTGGCCCGCACTCGGGGAGGGAACCAGCCTTTCATCCGGCCGGGGCTCCACACCATTCATTTCATATTTCCCACAACTGAAAATTGGATCAAAGCTGCTCCAGCCCAGGAGGAGGGGAGGGGACAGACCCCCCACAGCCCACCCACCACCCTCATCTCCTGCAGGCTGCCATCCTGGCCCGCCGCGGGTGGGCGGGCAGCTGGGGGCGTGAGGGCTGGACCACATCTCCCGGCACGCGTCTCATTTGGGCCAAGGGACTGGCTTGGGGGAGGGGACGGGCAGAACAGAGCCCAGCCGACTGCCCCCTCCAAAGCCTGGGCACAGGTCTGGCCTGCATGTCCACCCCCCAACACACACACACACACACACACACACACACACACACACACATCCGGCACAGCCCTGGGTCTCTGCCAGCAGCCAAGCGGAGGCAGGGCACGCGTGGGCTCCAAGCCCATGTCCAGCTGGCAGAGGCTATGGCCAGGCCCTCCTGTGCTCCTGCATTCCCTCCACTCGTAGCTACGCACCTCCTTGGTGCCAGGCTCTGGGTCAGCAAGGCACAGGAGGCAGGCACAGGTGGCGAAAGCATCCTGCCCTCCCCACCCCAGCTCAGCCCGGGGACACCCCAGTGCCGCTGTCCACAGCATGGTTATCAAAAATGGCTCCCCTAAACATGTCGGGATTGCACATCATCGGGCCCCAGGCAGCCTGCAGAGCCAGCCTGCCCCCACCACAGTGCCAGCTGCCCAGTGCACAGGGCTCAGGGCACTGAGTAGGGCATGTGCCTCAACACTCTCCTGGGGCTGCCAGTACCCTCTATGCCTCTGCACCCAACAAGGGCCAGAGGGCTGCGGCGTGAGCCCCCTGCCCAGAGAGGAGCCCCCAGCTCAGAGTGAGGGGTGGCAGGGAGAGGGGGTGGGCTCCCTTCCTGACGGTGACTAGCTGGCCAGAGGTGGGGCCATCTTGGGCTGTCCTGGACCAGGGAGCCACCAATGGCTCCACACGGAGGGATTCCTGAGCCAGGACCCCAACAGGCCAACATCACACCGGCACTGCCACGATGGGGCACAGGGCACAGTCCTGGCACGACCCTCCCGGCCACACGAGGCGTGGCGGCCACCCTCCCAGAGAGACTGGCTCCTGGGTCCAGACCCTAGTCAGCTGCCCTGGTGCCAGCCTCTGGTGCCTGGGGCTATGCTCCCACTGACCCGGGAGGCAACCAGCCCCTGCAGGACACCCGGACTCCTCCTGGCTTTGAGGATGAGAGCACAGGGTGCTCCTGGGTCTCCCCGCCAGCCTGCCCGAGGCTCCTGCTGGCCCTCAGCACAGCTGATCAGCAACCAGGGCTATCCACTCACCCCACAGGGCCTTTGCTAGGGGCCTTCTGAGCCAGCACACATCAGGGCCAGGGCTCAGCCTGTCGCCCGGCACCCCCTCTGCCCACTGGCAACATGCTGAGGACAGCACTCTACAGGTGCCCAGGTTGCACAGAGGACAAAGTGTAGCCACAGCTGCCCACAAACCATGCATGGACAGTGACCACAGGGAGCATGGACAGTATCACAGGGAGCATGCCAGCTCCTCCTGCTCTGAGGACACTGTGGCTGACCCTTGGGCAGAAGGGTAGGATGGGCCCTGGGGACACCCACTGGTCCGCACGCAGCCCTGATGCCACTGCCTGGGTTTGGGGGTTCCTGGGGCTTCCCAGATGCCAGGCCCTGTGCTGGGCATCTCATGTTACCGGGCTCCCTGGAGCTGTCCAGAGCCAGTCAGGGAGGCCTGGAGAGGTCAGAGTGCCAGTGACCGCTGGGGACGCAGGGGGGTTGAACCCAAGAACTCAGCCCCTCTCCAGCCCTCCACCTGTGGTCAGGACAACAGGAGCACCATTTGGGGAAAGCGTGGCCACCTCCGTCCCTCTGCCCCGGGGCAGGAGGTCTGGGTCAGGGAGGGCGTGGGTGCCCACCCCCTGGCAGCCACTGGGCTTGTTCAGTCCAAGAATCCAAAGCTCGCCCTTCTCCGCACCAGCGCATGGCCGGCCCTGCCAGCAGCCGTGGGGAGTCGCAGGGAGGGGCGGCGGGGGCTCCTTCCTGCCCCCCGCCCGCGGCCTGGGAAAAGGCAGCATATTGAGGCGCGGGGCTCCCAGCACCAGGCCCCGGGATGCTAATGAGGGCGAGCGCGTTCCCACAGCCCGGACATTGTGCGGCGCGGCCCACCTGCTCCTCAGGGAGCGCCCATTGTGCCTGCGCCAATTCATAGGCAATTTAGCGTGCGCTAATGGGCCGGCGCCTTTGTGCGGCCCGCGCTGCCATTGGCCACTGAGTGTGGGAACGGCCGCGGCGCCCGGACCCCAGGCGCCAGCCCGCCGCCTGCGCCTATATAGGGGCTGCGCGGCCCACGGCGCCACCGGGACGCCGGCCCCACGCTCGCCCACGCCAGCATGGCTCCCAGCACCGTGGCCGTGGAGCTGCTCAGCCCCAAGGAAAAGAACCGAGTAAGTGCGCGTGCGCCCGAGCCCCGTGGAACAGGTCCCGGGGCCCCGTGTCCGCCTCTGACCCCCCCTGCCCCCGCAGCTGCGGAAGCCCGTGGTGGAGAAGATGCGCCGCGACCGCATCAACAGCAGCATCGAGCAGCTGAAGTTGCTGCTGGAGCAGGAGTTCGCGCGGCACCAGCCCAACTCCAAGCTGGAGAAGGCGGACATCCTAGAGATGGCCGTGAGCTACCTGAAGCACAGCAAGGGTAAGCCACACCCCCCGCCCGGCTCCACTCCCACTCCCCTGCCCGGTCCCCGGCGACACCCCCACCCCGCCCCCGCGCCCCCTCATCCTGCCTCACTGGCCCTGCAGCCTTTGCCACGGCCGCCGGCCCCAAGAGCCTGCACCGGGACTACAGCGAGGGCTACTCGTGGTGCCTGCAGGAAGCCGTGCAGTTCCTGACCCTGCACGCCGCCAGCGACACCCAGATGAAGCTGCTGTGCCACTTCCAGCGGCCCCCCACCGCCCCCGCTGCGCCTGCCAAGGAGCCCCCCATGCCCAGCGCCGCCCCTCTGCCCACGCGCCCCTCCGCCAAAGTCTCCCCTGCTGCGTGCCCTTCAGCCTGCGGCCTCTGGCGGCCCTGGTGACTTCCCCACTGCCTGCTGCCACCGCCCGGCAGGTCGGATGCACCTTCTCCGGTAGCCCCTCCCAAGGCCGGCGGGCCAGCCTAAGGGTCATTCTCCGAGAAGAGAATGTGCCGCCTGTGGAGCCGTGTTGTTTGAGGACAATCAGGGCCATCTCCTGCCCAGCGTCTGACCCCGTGGGGTTGTTGTGTTTGCTTTCAGCAAGTGACTTCTGGGAAGTCCCCGGCTGCGGGGTTCTATGATATTTGTAGGGCCAGGGGCTCTGCCTGCCAGTGCCCTAGCCTGTAGAGGACTTTCCTCAGGGCCCGTCGCTGCTGGGCACGCACCCGCAGGCGGGCGGGCGTGCCATGGGCACTTTGCCTTTTGTGAAGGCGGAACTCCAGGTGTATCCTCATAGGAAGGTACTCGGCCTGAGGACCCGGCCCAGAGCCCCACCTGGGCTGCATGGGTCCCGGCTCACTCTGGGCTGTTCGGGGAGGGTGGGGCCTCCACTACGATCCTTAAAGGATTCCTTGGTGTGGGTGGGTGCATGTGGGCACACTTTGTACTTAGAATTTGAGCTCTCTGTCACGTGGGTGCCCACGGACTGCTATGAAGGCTTCTAATAAAATCCGACTCTCAACCCCTCCACCGTCTGTGCCTCCCATCTGTCCTGGGCAGCTACGGGCTGGCTTTGCAAGGGTGATGGGGGTGGAAGGGGTGCTTGCCAGTGGCCCTCTAGCTGGGAGAAAGAGCTGGGTCCCAGCTGAATGAGGGAGAGAGGAAGGAGGAGGGGCAGGGCGGGAGGAGGAGGGAGAGGAGCAGGCAGGACTGCTTCCCCTACAGCCCCTGGTTTCTGCCCCCTGCTTTTCACCAGTTCCCCATGGGTATGGCGAGGGTGGGGCAGCTACAGAACCTTGGGCTCTGTCTCTCAGGAGGGATGCACATGCCACAGTGGTCCTCTTCTACAACAGGAAGGGGCTTAGCCAAGGCAAGCAAACAGGAAAACCACTGCCTCCAGCCCCAGCCCCTGCCCCTGGCCCGTAGCACCTGTCTCCAGAAGTGCTCCCAGGGCACTTGCTTGGCTTGTCCACAGGGCTCAGAGGCAGGCCAACTGCTGAATCAGGCTGTGATGGCCACGAACCTGCCAGGGGTGAGCCCATGCCTGGGAAAGGGCACCTATTTTTAGACAGGCTGCAGCATGGGATTGAATCTGCAGGAACCTAGAACCACAGCTCCCGGGTGGCCAGCTCCATGAGCAGAGCAGGAGGGAGCTAGATACACTGCATATTTTCTGAATGACAGTCACAGACCCAGGCCAAGCCCTGCGCTCTTCCTGTCTCACCCTCTTGAAGGTCTGTCCCTTTCTGTCTACTCTGAAGGAAGTCTCTATATATGCAACCCTCTAGTCAGCCCAGAGCAGGGAACAAAGTGTGTCCCCATTCATTCTGCATGATTGTTACACGTACAGGAGGACGGGCATGTCCTCCTGAACACAGCCAGCCCAGCTGCTTCCTCTCAGGAGCAGGCCCGCCTCCCTGGTGCAGGTTCGCCCACCCTGTGCCCGAAGCATGAGCAAGGCTGCCTCCCGGCAGTCTTGTCCGACACTCTGAGCTCATGCCACCCGACAGGAGCTGGCCCCACAGCCAGGACACCTCAGCCCGCAGGCAGAGGCTGAAGGCCAGAGACAAGTCCCCTGCCCAGGTGCTGAGGCCAGCTTAGCATCTGCCGTCTGGTTCCAACAACTCTCCTCCCAAAGTGCCCAGGGCTCCCGGGGGCTCACCCTGGAACCCTGCCCTGCCCGCAGCCTGCCCCCAGCCTTCCAGAACTGTCTGGCCAGAAAGCGGCCCCCTCCTGGCAGCCTTCCCCGCTCCCCCACTGCACTCCTCCAACTGCCATGCAGGTGCACAACTTCTCCAGGTGCAGGTGCAGGTGTGACCCCGGTTGGGCAGGGTCCTGAACTGGGACTTTTGGGGCTGAAGGTCCCACGCCCCTGGAGAACCGGATGGTGAGTCACCCTAGCAGAGACGGGGCCAAGCCCACAGCGTGCTCGCAGGCCCAGTGGCCTGGAAGCCGGCTCGGCAGGCTCCGAACACTTGAGTTAACATCTGCCCGGCTTGGCAGAACAACAAGAACAGCCAGATGTTCTGTGCTGCTGCTGCTGCACCTCTAAGGGATAACGGCCGCCCTCCCGTAGCCTCAGCCCGTCGAACCCAGGCTCTGGACTGGCCCAGGCGTCCCTCGAGCGGAGGGAAGCCCGAGGGCCCGGAGCCTCATTAGCATAATATATGCGCAGAGGCGCTTAGCCGTCAAATATATGCGCATATATCTCCATGGTTGATGAGGCTGGCCGGGCACTTTCAAAATGGCGGAGTGTGGAGCGAACGGCGGCGGGAGCAGCGGAGACAGCCTGGACAAGAGCATCACACTGCCCCCCGACGAAATCTTCCGTAACCTGGAGAACGCCAAACGCTTCGCCATCGACATAGGTACCCGCGGGCCGGGCGCGCGAACAGACTGTCGGAGCGGCGGGCGCGGGCGCGGGCGGCGAGCGGGGGCGACGGGAAGGACGAAGGGCGGGGGCGCGGGCCGCGCGCACAGCCTCACGGGCCGTGGCGCGGCCTCGTGGGACTTGTAGTCCTCGGGGCGCCCTCGTGCACCTTTGCAGCGGCGGCCGGACTGCAACTCCCGGTAGGCATCACGCGGCGGAGCGAGGCATGCTGGGACGCGTAGTCCACGTGCCGCCGACGGCAGTCTGGGGTCGGGGTCTGTGGCCCGCGGCTTTTTCGGTTGTGGGACAGAAGACTCGTTCCCCGGACAGTTGACAGCTGGTGGGAGTGCGCCAGACGGGGATATGAGGCCCGGGGACTCGCCTCCGCGGCTTCTTGTGGCCCTGGGGGCCTGCAGAGCCGCCCCGACCCGCGGGCTGCCCCCTCCTCCCGGCGGATAGCTGCCGCCCCCTGTGCTGACACGCACAGGCCACATCGCACCACTCTGGGCCCCGCTACCCGACCGGCGACCCGCTAGAAGTGCCAACCTCGCCCGCGGCGGCCGGTGGGGACTAAGGAACAGAAACGAGGACTAACTTGGCCAGGGTCACCTGCAGTGAATGGCATGGCCGGGAGAAGAACCGGGCCAACCCCCTGCCACTGCGCCGCGCCTGTTTGACGTGTGGGGGCTCCCGGGGGACCGGCTGCCATCCGCTTCAGGTGCTTGATGCTGAAACGACTGGTGTGCTGCCGACCGTGGCCTCCGCGCGAAGGCTGGGTGCCCGCAGAGCTGCTTGCTTCGGGGCCCTTGAGCGCACTCCCTGCTCTCCCTGTCTTGCCCGAGGCTCGGCCTGGGGCTGCACCATCTCCTGGACGTGCCTCATCCTGGGAGGAGCCAGAATGGAGATGTGGCCCGTCCTTCCCACCTTGCAGGGGGCTCCGTCGGGTGGTCTGTGGGGGAGGTCAGCAGGGTGGCAGTTGAAGGTATGCGGGAAGCATTTGGAGGGGCACTTGGTTGGAGTTGGTGACCACCTGGACCCTGCACAACCAGCCCTTTCCAGAGGTTCCGAGACCTTCACTCTAGTGGGACAAGTGCACTGAAAAATTCTGTGGCGCTACACATGAGGGTTCAGTTCAGCAGGGACAAATCGGGACTAAATGTAGCTGAAAGTCAGCTGAAATTGCACATGTCACTTGGGCGGTAACCGGGAAAGTGGGGCTCACCTTGGATAGTCCATATGACCCTTGGGCCAGCAAACAGATAACCACAGAGCTATGGTGGGAGTGCTGCCCTAGCCGGAGGGTCCTGGAGCACCCAAGGCCTGCCTGCTCTTTGGGGCCAGGCCCAGAGGTGTTCCGTGCAGAAGTATTTTTAACCATCAGTATTTATTTCCTCTTTAAAAGTTCCCCCATGTGGGTCCTATGTCTGCTCTTAAAAGGACGGACTTATTGTTTGTGAGAACAGACCTTTTGTTACTGCAGCTGGTGGGCGGTCACAGCTCCCGTGGGGGTCCTTAGCCTAGGCATCCACAAAGCAGCGAATGTGCTTGTCAGCCTGTCAGCCGCGTCCTTTAAAAACAGGCTTCTCCCGTTTCCTCTTCCCTTGCCCAAGTCTCGGCATCCAGGAAACTTCAGCTGTTCTGTTCTTGGCGAGTGCTTTTCCTCTCATGCTCAGGGACTCTGTCAGCTGACTGATTTGCCTCTGGATACATGGGGACACTGTATTTATCAGCACGTGCTCAGAAGTTGGACCGGACTGGAGACCTTTCCCCAGGAACTTCATTAGGCATTGTCACTCAGTCTGTCGGGACTCTTGCTTGGCTGCATGCTAATTGCAGGGTCCCTGAGAATGGGTCGGGACAGAGGCTCCCACAGCGCTGAACTCTGAGCTGATTCTAGTTCAGGCTGACCTCCCTGCAAACAGTGTCCCCATGGGCGCCTGACCTGTTCTCGTCCCTCTTGGCTGGGGAATTGGAAGCCCCTTTGAGAGGCTTTGGGGGTGGGGCTTGGCATGGACTGTGGACCTACCTGCCTGCCACCCCTAGTGCCCCATACACTCCAGCATATCCTGTTTGGGGCATGAATTAAAACTAACACCAGGAGGGGCTGGGGATTTAGCTCAGTGGCAAAAGCGCCTGCCTGGCATGTGCAAGGTCGTGAGTTCGGTTCCCGGTACCGGAGAAAAACCAAAA